AGAAAAAGAGGCGTAAAAAATTTGAAAAGAAAGTTCGTAGATATCGCGATAAGGGGAAAATATTTATTACAAAAGCAATTAGAAATGAATTATTATAGAGATTATTTCTTACGAGGGCTCTCTAGGGAATTGAAATCACCTCAACGTAAAGAATGTCGTTTAATAATTACACTTATTAACAATGATATCGGGTTTGTTGAAAGTATGCTCAATGTTTTTGAATCACGAAATACCAGAAATTATCACGAAGACATGAAAGCGAATGTATTTGAATCATGGTTTCAATCTACTATTTCGCGTTTTAAACCGGGTTCAGTCATTGTATTAGATAACTCGTCTTTTAGAAACATTTTCCACAACAGCGTGAGAAAAAAACCCACTTTTTTTATTTAAAAAATGTTAAAATTTATAATGACATATACATCAAATATTATTTTTTAATAAAAATTAACAGGAGATAAAATTTTAAATAAATCATATTCTTTGCCAAAAATAATCATCTTCTGCCAAATTTGGGAAAAATTTATAAACAGATTGTGAAATTATTTCCGAAACACCGAAATAATTAATTCAAATTTGACACCCTGTAGATACTTTATAAATTTCAGTATTTTATCAAAGAAAGTTGAATCAGATTGTCATATTTCGAAACCATCACTACCATTACGCTATGGGCCATTAATTACGAGCCACCCTGTATTTGATAACATATGGCTACTGGCGAACCAACCCTTAAAAATTTTTTAACCCGCCACGATATTTTAGAGGTGATGTGGAAAAGGACCAACAATTATATACCTCATTAACAGTTTATAGGTAAAGAATCAGTTAGCTCACTCGGGCCAATTGGATGTTCCAAAATAACATCTACTTCAGGGATACAAATTCAGAATGCGCAGAAAACTACTGTTTGAATATATAGGCGGTTGACATAATATTGTATTGGTTATAGTAAGAGAGCCTACTGCAAATTTCGACCGTTATCTGATAACGAAATGAACTATGCTCCAAAGGCATGTAACAACATTGTACTTTACCAAATTGCACCTGTGCTAATCCCTATCCTGAGCAAAGTGGTTACAAAAAATCACATAAGACATGACAGCGACAATTGTGTTTTCCCTGAAAATTACAATCCTAATTCATTGTGAACCTAGCTTTTAAACCTGAATTATTAATATGTTTACCTATCTTTTAAACCATGTGTATGTGTGAAAGGAAAAAGGATGGCATTGTATAATAATTTTAAACTCTTGTTAGACAATTCTTTTAAATTATAATAATAGTAGTTTTTTGTCGTTTCTAGGACAATCTGTAAAAATGAATCACAACAAATTTTAAAATCAGCAAAAATTGATTCATATTTTTAATGATTTTTACCTACTAATCGTGGATAGATGTTTTTGTGCGATGTTAAGAGAAAGAAAATGTTTCCCTTTAACGATATACAGGGTGTTATTGAAATACACGTACATATTAAAATGGGGAATAGTATGTAATGACCAAAAACGATTGGCACCAATTTTAACTTCAAATTCTAAAATTTAAATATTGGGGAAGAGTCCCCTTTTCCGACCTACTAGTTTCCATATTTAAAGAAGTAAAATAAATCGAAATTGAACTTACCCATAGAAATTGCACTGTTGCCGTAGCAAAACCAATTAATTCAAAATAAAGTTTATTACAGTAATTGTTCAAAATGCCGTCCATTATTATTTACACACACTTGCAATCGTCTTTCCAAAGAACTTTGAACATTAGAAATTAGTCTTGGATTTTGTCGTAGTTCCTCGGCTACCGCATTAACTTTATTGGTTAATTGTTCAACACTATTAATAGGTCCATTATAAACCAGTTGTTTCATGTGACCCCACAAAAAGAAATCGCATGGATTTAAGTCCGGAGATCTCGGAGGCCACTTAGTAGGCCCATTTCTGCCTATCCACTTTTGAGGAAATCTAATGTTCAAAAACTGCCGTAAGTTTAAATCAAAGTGAGGAGGAGCGCCATCTAGTAGGTACCACATCCGTTGCCTTAATTGTAACGGTATCTCTTCTAGGAGTACTGGCAAAATATCTTCTAAAAAGTGGAGATATCCTGGCCCATTTAATCTGTTTGGGAGAACATAAGGCCCGATTAAATACTGATCTATTATGACAGCCCAAACATTTATTGAAAATTTTCTTTGATGCCCAGTTTCCCTAATGGCGTGAGGATTTTCATCACTCCAAATATGCGTATTGTGCATATTGAACACGCCATCACGAGTGAATGAAGCCTCGTCAGTATACAATAATAGTTTTAGAAAATCAGGAATATCAACACATTTTTGAATCATCCATTCACAAAACTCCACTCTCTTTTCTTCATCACCTTGATATAAGGCCTGGACTTTTTGGATGTGATAAGGATGTAAACCTTGTTCTTTAAGTGTCCGCCACACAACAAATGAGGACACTCCAATTTCAAGACCTAGTCTTCTACAACTTAATTGAGGCCGGTTTTCAACAGCTTCCAATATTTCTTCTTCGGCCGCCAATGTTCTTTGTGTTCTTGTTCTCCCTCTATCTGCATTGACACTCTCAAATTTTCCATGGTCTCTTAGATGCTGAACAGTTGAAATAAACGTACGACAGTCCGGAATTCTCCGATTTGGAAACCGTTCGCGATACAGGATTTGTGCTTGCCGAGAATTTTCTCCAGCTGCCCCATAAACCAGCACTATATCCGTTAGTTCAATATTCGTAAATAGTGGCATCGTAAAAAAATATTTAAAAGTAATCGTAACAACACTTTTTACCAACTTGGAAATGACGCGCTCGTGTTAGCCAGATTCGTAAATCAACTAAAATTTTAATAATCTATAGTTTCAAAAATGTATAGTTTAAAAACAATCATTTATCAAATATTCTAGTTTTTTGATAACGAGGGTAGTAAAAACCAGTCTTCGGAAATAGAAATTAATTCGAAAATCTTGGCAACATGGTTATTTCTTACAAGACTAGTTTTCTTATCATCTGACAAAAACTTGCATATTAATTACTGTTGATGTTTAAAATAGGTAAATAAACCTAATTTATATAGGTCATCCTCAACATATCAGTGAAGTACGTTTGTTTTAGAATTAATTTTCAAAAATTAATAACTCCCTTAATAAGGGGTATTTTTAAAAAATAATATTTTTCTACATTCAGTGGGGATCTGCGCAATACCCAGTTTTAATATGTACGTGTATTTCAATAACACCCTGTATAGAAAGATATATTTGAATATGTTATTTTTTGGAAAACTTTAAGGCCAAACAAAATTAGCGCTGTTATGCCTTATATGCATTATTTAATATAAAATAATTTTTTTTAACCACTTTGCTCAGGATTGGGATTTTGTAAAGTACAATGTTTTACTTGCTTTTGGGGTATATTTCACTTCATTGTCAGATGAGGGTAAAATTTGCAGTGGGCTCCTGGGCTACTATGATTTGATTATGTATGCGCCAGAGTGAGCGAACTGATTCTTTAGCTGTAACTGTTATATATTTTATATTTAATTAAAATGCATATTTGTCATTAAAATTGCCAGTCACTGGAAACATTTTCTCCTGTCCCGCAAGATCCGAAAATCTACAAATGTTGGAGGGATGACAGATGTCAGCATTCTATTACACATTTCTGAAATTTTCACACACAATTTTCACGGTCTATTATTTTGGTAACGTAGTAGTCTGTCCAACAAGAGTGTATACATATGATGGTCATATCGCATGAAGAAATAGTTTGAGCATCACGCTGTAGACACCATTAAAAAAATTTGAAAATTTTAAAAATTAATTTGGAGGTTATTAATATAAAATTACTATTTTAAAAATAATTAACCCAAAGTTTTGAGTTTATATTCTTTATCAATTTATATGAAAAACAAAAATTGGTTTACCTGAGACTTGAACCCCGTGCTCTTCGAACTGGAACTCCAATCAATCAATTAAAGAAAATATTTAATTTTTTTCTACTACTGTTTAACCAAACTCAAAACCCACGACCCGTCACTGTCTGTTGAATATAATTTACAATAAACATCCAGAATGTAAAAGCCTTTTACTTACAAAAATCAATAAAATTATAGATTATAGAAAATCTATAAATATTAGGACGTAAAAGACTTTTATATTTACCTACAACAATTAATGAAATTATAGATTGTAGTAGAATAATTTTATTGATTTTTGTAGGTGGATGTAAAAACCTTTTACATCCTGAAAGTTAAGGAATATTACATTGTGAAGACCAAAACTGTTGTTTTGACACTTAATAACTGTCATGTAAAAGCCAACTTTTAATAACAGTGTTTAAAAAAAATATGTTGTTTATATAATTTGTTTGACACACCCTGTAGACCTTTAAGGCGTTTTACGATGATATAATATGACTTTTCGGCCCTAAACTAATTTGTTTACTTGTAAAAACAAAAACGTAAACCGACCATAGCCTACCTACAGCAGTGGTAGAAAAATATTTTGAATCTACAGGCTCTTTAGAGATGTCATAAAAAGTGGTATAGAGTTACACGAAGACCTGTTTATTAGATGTTTATTTCATTTTTATTACCAAATTGAAAGTTATATATGTTTAAAACTGTGTTTGTTACGGCTAAATATTTTGAAAGCGTTTTGTTTGTTAAATGTTTTTCTAGATGTATTAACATAAAATTAATTAAGATGAATAACTAGTGCTTTGACGAAAAATGGGATCTTACAGGGTGACACAGTCCTATGTTCACAATGTAGATTTGTAAATGATTCTAAAGTAAGCCATGACCGACAAAGACAGATATGAGTCACGTTCGTGATAACTACGATCGGCTCTTAATTAAATCCAAACTGACAATTAAAAAGAAGAAGAATTAACTCAACATACGTGCATTTTTTGAGGGCCTAGTTTAGATACATTTTTTGTGGCTCATTCGTTATAAAATATATTTAAATTTGATATTATTTTTTTTTTCAGAATGGTCCATTCCTGAAACAATGTAACGCGTGCCCCCCAATCGCGATACGACCCCCTCCACACTACCCCATCCCTATCCGGTGAATGCGGTGCGTCAAAAGACAGCGCCCCAGGTGTATTGGCCACCTCCTGGTGGCAATTTTGTTCGTTCTGACGACGGCGAAGGCCGAAACGTCGGAAATTACCGATTTCGTAATCACAAACGTCTTGCCAGATGGCGAAGTGGAGACAAGGATCTACTACAAGGGCCTCAGCGCCAAGGAGACGAGGGTTGGAAGTGGGTGAGTATCGCAATTTTCCCCGTTTTTAGAGCGGTTTTCATAATTATGTGTAATTACATTAATTCCTGTGGATTAAAAGTACAATTATTTAATGATACTAGAGTTAGGGCAGTTTGCCAGTGCTTGATTTAGGAACTAAATTTATGTTTTGCAAGAGATAATATAACTAAACAAATATGCCAAGAACTCAAAGAAGTATAATAACATTTGAAACATATTTTAACATGTACAAGATTAATTCATATTTTAAAACATTAATTAATTTAATGAATTTAAAAATGTTCATTTAAGTAAATTTTAAAAATCTGAACACACTGTATAACAACTTGTTTCATTGAGTCCTAAATCCATAACTGTATTCTCTGTCGACATATACTACGCATCAAACTATCAAACACTTTCATTCTTGATTAAAAGCTTTTGTACCAGAAGACGTTTATGTACATCTTTACGAGTTTTCTAAATTATAGAGTTGATTATTGTTGAATATATTTTTTTTTTCGTTAAATTTAATTGAAACTATAACTATAAAGAAAAGAAAAATATTGTTATGGTTGTCGATGTATACGACAGTGTATGAATCACTTGTTTTACATAGTTGTCTCAACCAATACTATAATATAGTTTAACGTGTTTGTATTATAGTAGTTACATGCATTATAGTAAGTACAAGGTGGGTCAAGGTAATAAAAAGTTCTAAAAACGCTATTAAATAATTTATACCCATTTTATACTTGTGATCGTGGGGGAAACCACTAAAGTCAAAACGTACCCGAATTTCGGAAATTCCCTAAACATTTTTTAATTGATTTCGTTAGAAATCCCCCTTAATTTTATACGATGACCTTTTTTTGGGTTGTTCCCTTGTCTTTTGATCCACAAGCTTCTCATTTACTTTTTTGAGCTACGACTTGATATCGATGATGATTTCGACCATGAATTTTCGATGGTGATTTCGGAAATTTCGAGAAATTTTGTAGTGATTTTGAGTGAAAACTTATACCAGTATTTTGGGAGTGAATGACCCCTCGCTTGTGATAATCCAAAGCTAAGCAAGTTTTCAAAATAAAATTTTAGCAAACATCGTTGGTGTAGCCTGGTATGACAGAAACAATAATCTACTCTGAATTAAACTGATCTGAAAATTGTTGTCTACATCAACAAGTTTGTCAAAACCTTTGAACTTAGGTAGTCTCTGGATAATCCTTGGTATTTTCTATGTATTATCTAGCTATTTTCTTTGAAAATTATCTTAATCTATTTTTTAGAGGGTTGCTTATTATAATGTTCATTTTCATTCTACTGATTTTTAAAAAATTATTTACATCTAAAAATTGTTCTCCAAGTACGTCTTATGGAAGACAAAGAACTGTATTTTGCACAATACAATTATTGTAGAAATTAATAATATTAATTAATTAACAAATAAACAAACGTCTTAATTGAAAATGCTGCGCAACATTTTATAAATATATAGGGTCTACTTAAGTTGAATGATAATTTAATTCTTGTTCTGTTTTTGTGACTTCAAAACTATAATGAATTTATCGTTATATATAGTGTCGGTATTATAATGGTGGATTGAATCATAATAATTTACGAACCTTATTTTAGTATCTCTCGTAAATAATTAGAATTTATTAGCTACTTATTCCTAGAAATTATTTGGGTATTCTCAGAAATTCTACGGATATTTCCAGGTATTCTCTAAGCATTCCCAGGTATTCTCTACAAGGGTGGCTGTAGGCCGAATTTTTGCCATTAGCCATTCCGTTTTTAGCATATTTTTTTAAATAAAAGTCTCATGGATTGTAATATATTTCATCACGGAGGGCCATGAAGAACCTGCTCAGTGGGGATCTAGACTAACAACAATCAAAGGAAATGAACGATTAGCATCATGCCATCACACGAATGTCAAACAATGTCAACTAGAGAGCCAGCATACTGGCCCACGGATTCGAATAAAGAAGAATCATGGGACATGAATTCAGATCACTTTCCCATACTTCTCACATTAAAAAATAAAATTTACCAAAACTAGTCAATAAAGGCACATATTGGAAACGCTTCAAAATCAAACTAGAAGAACTAATTGATCTCTCGGTTTCTTAAAGAATTGAGGAACAATTAGATCAAGAAGTTGAACTTTTTGTCAAAAATATTCAACAGTGTGGGAAAATACTTCTGAGATTAAATGCAGAGTGCATGGTAATAATTATCTAAAGCAGGTCAGAAATCTTATCTCAGAAAAAAAGGAAAATTAGAAGAAAATGGCAACAGCCTAGAGCACCAAGTGATAAAACAACTTTAAACAATGCTACACAACAGCTAAAATGTGAAATAGGCGCATTAAAAATAAGTCGATTTGCGAATACTTAAGTTAATTAAGTAACGATAACAGTACCTATTATTCACTTTGGAAAGCTGCCAAACCATTAAAAAGGCTTACTATACATATCCCTCCAATCAGAAATAGCGATAGAAGCTGGGCTAGAAACAATTTGCAAAAAGCAAACAGACTCTTACCTTCCAATCCATTAATGGTAAAGATCATCAAGACTGGATGGAACTAGCACAAGAAGACACAGCCGTTAAACCCTACCTCTCCAAAATAAGTTTATATAAACATCCAAATAAATATAAATCCGAAAAACCCCTGGATTTGACCTCATTATTGGGGAAATCTTGAAAATACTTCCACGGAAAGCTATTGTAAAAATGACCAATCTCATCAATGCGTCCTATAGACTAAAGTACGTACCAAAGATGTGGCAGATGACAGAAGTTATAATGATACCTACGCCAGGTAAACTTCCCCATGAAGTTTCATCAAATAGACCCATTTCCTTGTTACCTGTTATCTTGAAACTCTATGAAAAATTGCTTCTTAAGAGATTGAAACCTATAATAGAAATATTGAAACCTATAATAGAAGACCTAGTACTCTCCCATCAGTTTGGTTTCAGAGAAAAACACTCGACCGTCGACCACAGATATCACCGAGAAGTCCCTAGAAGAAAAAATGTTTGCTGCACCGTCTTTTTGGTTATGGCTCAGGCTTTCAATAAAGTATGTCATGAAAGCCTGATTCAAAAACTGAACATATTCCTGCCACGTCAACACTCAGAACTATTAAAATCCTATTTATCAGAAAGGTATTTCAGAGTTAAACAGGAAAAAGCCCATTCTGACCTAAGATAAATTGAGGCAGTTGCAGTATTCTAGGTCCAGTACTCTACTTGTTGTATACCAGAGATATTCCTAATCTTGAGTTCAATACTATCGCAATATTTTTTGATGATACCTACTGAAATCCTTGCTGTTGGAAAATTGCAAAAATCTATAGACCAGATTACCAACTGGACAAAAAGATGACGAATAAAATTGAATATGGGCAAATCTGTCCATATACACTTCAGCAATAAACAAAATGAATATATTCTCAGATTTTATGATTCCATTTGCTAATAAAGCCAAAAAAGTTACATTTGATGTTAGGATTCTTTGGAAAGAGAATGTATTGGTTGCTAGAAAAAAACCAAATTATTCACATACAAGAAACTGCTTTTTTACAGGCAGATATTGGAACCCGTATATGGATGGACGTATGGTATCCAGCTCTATCCTAACATTCACGTTATTTAACGTTTCTAGAATAAATTATTACGAAACATTATCGATGAACCCTGATGCTGCCGCTATACTGATCTTCATAGGGACCTTAAAAGTGGAGACTGTTGAAAATACAATAGAAAAATGTTCAAGTAGTCACCAATAACGACTGCTCTAACATGGAGACGTTGAGGTTCTAATCCCTCAACAATGCCAATTTAATAAGAAGACTCAAGAGAACCAAGCCTTCTGAATTAGTTCAGTGATGTTAGATAAAAGCAGGGCATAGAGAGGTTTAGTGTTACGTTAACGATAGTGTAACTAAGGTACACTAGTGAGTAGAATCTTAGCATATGAAGTTTTCATCCCTAGATAAGTTAGGTTATTACTTGGGGAATTTATAAAAAAAAAACGTACGATTCACAATAATGAATACTAGAATGAGGATATATAATACTTGGCATTCTATATTATACTCTTCACAGTTTAACAGACTCCCCTTTACCCCCATGTTCAATCACATTCTTTTCAGAATCAGTATGCTTAATACCATTTTACTGAAGATTTCAATTTGATATCGTTTTTTTCAATATTTCAACCCCCTTATCCCCCAATTTTGATTTAGATTTTTTTCAGAATCAATAGGCTTCATTCCCTTATAGAGCATGATTTTTACTAACACATTTCATGTTGATATCGTTTTTGATGTTTAATTTATATTTTCTTTTATTTAAGATCCCCTTAACATCCCCATTTTTTCACAATTTTTTTTAAAATCAATTGTTTTTGTCCCCTTACAGGCGGATTAACGGACGGACGGACGGACGGACGGACGGACGGACGGACGGACGGACGGACGGACGGACGGACGGACGGACGGACGAACGAAGCAAATGTATAATACTCTTCACAGACAAATTAACACTACATTTAAAATTTTTAACGATTTATACCACTATCATTTTTTAAAAATTAGGAACTGCTTACAGAGGTTACTACTTCTGTGTGTGTACAGATCCGGAGCTCATAATAATTAAATTATTTGAAATCCCTCAAGCTCAAATAATTTATATGATAAAAGTTATAGAAAATTCCTATCAAATAAAAATTTAACCTAAATCTTTTATTATTTAAAATTATTGAAATACCTCAGTTTTAAATAATTTATATAAAAAATACATAGAAAATTACTATCAAATAAAAATTCTCTTATTATATAATACGTCTTTTCTGGTATTAAATTTTGTCCTGTATTAAGCATATTTTTATGGTAATTATGTTATGTTTTAGGTTACTCAATTTAAAGTTTTTAAAAATTATGTTGTCAATAGTTAGGAAAAATTGTTTAAAATATAATAAATAAAAAGTGTATTTTTTATTGTAAT